AAGAATTACTCCTACACTTCACTTAAAGACTGATACTTAAGAATTACTCCTACACTTCACTTAAAGTAAGACTGATACTTAAGAATTACTCCTACACTTCACTTAAAGTACGACTGACACTTAAGAATTACTCCTACACTTCACTTAAAGTAAGACTGAGACACTTCATAACTGACTTTTACTCTCAGCTTTTAACTAAGAATTGTTTTACACTTAAGTCCACTCTTAGCAGCATTCTTAAGAGTCATTCTAAGAAGTTTGATAAATACGGGCTTTGTTTTTTATCCCTTTTATTTATTAAATGGACCATACACATGTCTGTCTGGGATCTGGACCAAAGGCAGAAAGAACTGATATTTTAAGCTTCATTTCAGAGGACTCAGTAACTTCATCAGTGAAAMCTGTGACTGGCAAACATTTAGCAGAAAAACCTTTCCAGGTTTGAAGAGTCTGAGTGAGTCTTATCAGTATGGTTGTGAAGTTGTGTAAACAGACCTAGTGTTGACACAATAATGTGCTCTTTCCTGTTCACACAGCAGAGATCCARTAAAAACAGTTTTCCACATATAAAACCAGGTATAAATGTATGAAATAAAGAAAAGCTTCATGTGTGTCTGTAGTTTAAAGAGTTGCCAACACTCTGCTCAGCTCAGTTGTTTGTGCAGGTGAAGTTATCCTGGAACAGTCAGACCTTAAAGAAACATTTGACATTTTAAAGGACCGCATCAAGTGATCAGTCTTTCATGGCTCCTCAGATTTCACGTGTTGCATTATTAAGAATAAAAAGGATGTTTGATGTAACTAAATCTTATAGCAGCACCTGATTGGCAGCACATGGGGTCCAGAACCTGAAAAACCAGTCAATAACAACAACTGTTTGGCAATAGAAGATTTGGCACATTTTTCATGTGCACAACCCTCAATGCATGTTCCTTACAAATGTGGTGCTATTTCTAAGGGAAATGAACAGGTAACCAACAGTAATATCAAGAAGCATTGTTACTACAGAGAAAACAATCTACCAAACATTCATTTCCTTACTTTTTGTGATAAGTTTATGCATCAATGAGCAGCATCTTCWGATTATTGATTTATTAACTATTTTCCAAAATAAGAATCATGAGTGATTAAATGAAAGTCAGACAAATTAACGCAGGAACAGGTAATCTTTATATTAATTATTAATTAATTCTATGATTGCCTAGCTTTCATGTCAGCAGGTGATAAAAACAGAACTCTGTTGTCAGAAATGACACAGTTCAGTTTTATGCTACATGATGATTCTCCAGTTCATGCACAACAACAGACWTTGTTCAGACATTTGCTATAAATAGTTTTGTTTACTAACATGCAAATTATTAGGATTTCATTATTTTCTCAGTGACTTTATTTATGGGTGAAATGAAAGTTTTGATTTTATTTGAAGCTGGATTCTGTATTGAAGTTATATCTTATGTAGATAGCTCTGTGGATAACCTTTTCTCAAAGCAGCCCAGAGTGTCCACATAACCACCAACAGTGTAACGAGGCCACAGAGTGCAGCCCCACCCCAACAGAGGAGCCAACCAGTCCACCCAACACAACCTCCACACCAGTTGCTCACCACACACTGGGCTCACCGCCAGCATGCCCAACACCCCCCAATCACTGATACGGAGTCACCAGAGTGAGTTTTCTGTCTGGGACTTCTCCCATAGACGAGGATTTCTTCAGGAGATTTTTAACCGGGCCAATCAGAGAACAGAACATCAATTTTCTGCTCAGTGTCTGCTTGTAGTTTATTTTACCTGGACCAATCAGAGAACAGAACATCAATGTTCTGTGCAGTGTCTGCTTGTAGTTTATTTTACCTGGACCAATCAGAGAACAGAATGTCAATTTTCTGCTCAGTGTCTGCTTGTAGTTTATTTTACCTGGACCAATCAGAGAGCAGAAGCAGGAGTTTTGAATGACGTTGATGTTCTGCACAGTGTCTGCTAGTTATTTTAGCATACGACAGTGGAGGAAGTGAATGAAGCCAGTCTGTGTTGATAAGACTTCAAATTAAAATAAATTAGTCTGACAAAGCAGCAGCTCTCATTTACAGTCGTCTTGTTCAGCTCGGTATATTTCTCCTCTCAGCAGGGTTGTTTACAGCACACGTGATTTCTGTTAGCTTCTTAGCTTAGCCTCCTTCACAGTGGAGCTGGCACACATATGTCACGGCCCACTGATCCAATCATTTTAAACTTCAACAGAGGCCACGCCTCCTGCAAGAATCACTTCTCTATAGCTGAGAGTCCAGACCCTCGTATGAAGCAAAGTGAAGGACAGGGTCTGGTTTTTACCAGGCTACAAAATACTATAAACCTCAATAAAATGTTGACCCTGGGCCTATTTGAAGGAGCATTCCACTTTGGTCTTGGCCCCCTCTTGTCAGTTCAGTCAGGATGAAACTCCAAACTAAGTCCAAGACCCTGTTTCAACACATCTGAACTATCCCTTGAAACCAAGTAGGGGTCTCTGCAGATGAGTGGGCGTGTCTTAACGAAAGGCGATTCTGAAGCGACACACCTGATTTGACGGACTTTGTTAAAGGGACACACCTGACTGGAAAAGCAAAAAAGGGGCGTCACCGTACGGCACCACCTGATTGGACAAGAACAAACGGCACCAGTTTTTCTGGAGAACCCTACTTGGGTCACATTTCTCCTGGTTAACCTTAGTGTTGGGGTCAGGGTCAGGATGTAAAGAGGTCAATCAGGGTCTAAGGATACCATCATGTAGGCCTCGTAGCCCACAGTGTTTATGCTTTAGACACACCCACTCTTGTGACACGCCCACTTTGATTTCACAGATAACCCCTTCTTGAAACAGAAAAGTTCACCCAGTGGACCTAACCACATAGAAGAGTTACTCTTATTGAGATCATCTAAAACAATATGGCCTCAATTTGTTTTGGTCGGACCAAAACCAGAAGAGTCTTAGCAGTGTGACTGAGAACGAATCGAACATATGTCCATTATCAGCTGGAGCAAAAACAGCCTCTTTCAAACACTCAAGTGGAGGTTGAGCCAGTAACAATAACATGGCAGGATGCCACACC